AAAAAAAAAAAAAAAAAAAAAAAACCTGTCCACTTCGATCCTCAGTTCCTCGAGGTTAGGCACCAAGTCTGAATAGTCACTGATCCACTTGTGAATGCCACTCTTCAAAAGATGACTGTCAACACCAGAAAAGGGCCCTTCAGGGTCAAGGCAGCTGACACTCCACTTGGCTTCTAGAGGCTGTCTGGAATCCCGGAATAGGCTTGAGGTGAAAATACTTAGACTTTGGGCTCGGTGCCTGTAGCTCAGGTGGCTAGAGTGCCAGCCACATATACCAGAGCTGGCAGGTTCTAATCCAGTCCGGGCAAAAACATAGCTGGGCATTGTGGCAGGTGCCTATAGTCCCAACTACTTGGAAGGCTGAGGCAAGAGAATCACTTGGGCCCACAAGTTTGAGGTTGCTGTGAGCTTTGATGCCACAACACTCTACAAAGGGTGACAGCTTGAGACTTAGACTTTGGATCCTTTAGGCTCTCAGCAAGGTCTGGCTTCTCCAATAATTCCCCAGACTGGATGGAGCCACAGGACAGCATCTGCTGTCCTCCATGCACCATGGAGGTATACTGAGGACAAAAAAGGGTGTGCTTCTGAGGCCAGGTGGATTTGGTACCTTCTCAGACACTGTATGTTCTCACATAGTGGTAATGAGAAGCTTGCTGTTTTTTTGGAGGACTAGATTAGAATGGCTGAGCAGTCCAGTGGGCTCAAGATCCCCTCTGCAGGGTCCCTCTCAACAAGCTTCTTCCTGTGTGTCACCATCTTGCTGACCTGACTCAGTTATCAATTTCTGTAAAAATGCCAGCTGGAGGCCAGGCGTAGTGGGCCACCTATAATCCTAGCATTGTACTCTGAGAGGTGAAGGTGGAGGATCACTTGAGGTTAGGAGTTGGAGACCAGCCTGAGCAAAAGCAAGACCCGTCTCTACTAAAAATAGAAATTTTCCTGGCATGGTGGTAGTCCCAAGTACTTGGGAGGCCAGCAGTCTGAGGTAGGCTAAGGCCAGAGGACTTTAGCCTGGGGCCACAGAGTAAGACTCTGCTTCAAAAAAAAGAAAAGAAAAGAAAAGAAAGAAAGAAAGAGAAGAGAAGAAAAGAAAAAAAGCCAGCTAGGATTCTGACAGGGATTGTGTTGTTGAATCTATAGATCAATTTAGGAATTATTCATTTCTTTTCTTTCTTTCTTTTTTTTTTTTAAACAGAGTCTCACTATGTTGCCCTGGGTAGAGAGCTGTGGCATCGCAGCTCATAGCAACCTCAAACTCTTGGGCTTAAGTGATTCTCTTGCCTCATCCTCCCAAGTAGCTGGGACTTCAAGCACCCGCCAACGCCCAGCTATTTTGTTGTTGTTGTTGTTGCAGTTGTCATTGTTGGTTAGCTGGCCTAGGATGGGTTCAAACCCACCAACTTTGGTGCATGTGGTCAGCACCCTAACCACTGAGCTATGGGCACCGAACTGAATTATTCATATCTTAACAATATTATCTTATGATCCATGAACTTGGGATATCTCTATTTATTTAGACATTCTTTAATTTCTCAAAATAATGTTTTACAGTTTTCAGCATACAAGTCTTTTATTCCTTTTTTTGGGGGGGGGGAGAAGGGTGTTGCTCTGTCACCTAGGCTGGAGGGCAGTGGCCCAATCATAACTCCCTGTAACCTCAAACTCCTGGGCTCAAGCGAGTCTACTGCCTCAGCCTCCCAAGAAGCTGGGACCACAGGCACCCGCCACAACGCCCGGCTGTTTTTTTGTTGCAGCCGTCATTGTTGTTTGGCGGGCCTGGGCTGGATTCGAACCCGCCACCTTAGGTGTATAAGCCTGGCGTCCCAGCCGCTTGAGCCCAGGCATGGAGCCTGATTTTTTTTTTTTAATTTTTTGTAGCGGCCAGGCCCAGTGGCCCATTGTCTGTAATCCTAGCAGTCTGGGAGGCCAAGGCAGGAGGCTCCTTTGAGCTCAGAAGTTTGAGACCAGCCTGAGTAAGTGTGAGACTTCATCTCTACTAAAAATACAAAAATTAAGGCTGGGCGCAGTGGCTCACGCCTGTAATCCTAGCAGTCTGGGAGGCCAAGGTGGGTGAATCACCTGAGCTCACAAGTTTGAGAACAACCTGAGCCAGAGCAAGACCTCATTTCTAAAAAATAGCCAGGCATTGTGGTGGGCACAGCTACTCGGTAGGCTGAAGCAAGAGAAATGCTTGAGCCCACGAGTTTGAGGTTGCTGTGAGCTGTGACACCACAGCACTCTATCTGGGACGACAAAGTGAAACTCTGTCTCAAAAAAAAAAAAAAAAAGAAGACGAAAGAAAAATTAGCTGGGTGTTGTGGAGGGTGCCTATAGTTCATAGGAGGCTTGAACCCAAGAGTTTGAGGTTGCTATGAACTAAGCTGACACCACACCACTTTATCCTGAAGCAAAAGAGTAAAATTCTATCTCAATTAAAGAAAAAAAAATTTTTAGAGATGGGGTCTCATGATGTTGCCCAGGCTGGTCTCAAACTCCTGAGTTCAAGCAATCCTCCTGCCTTGGCCTCCCAAAGTGCTGGGATTATAGGCATGAGCCACCACCCCTAGCCCAGAATTTGCATTTTAACAAGATTCTCTGATGTCTCCTATGTACATTAAAATCTGAGAAGTGGGCTCAGCGCCTGTGGCTCAAGTGGCTAAGGCGCCAGCCACATACACATAAGGTGGTGGGTTCGAATCCAGCCTGGGCCCACCAAACAACAATGACGGCTGCAACCAAAAAATGGCCGGGCGTTGTGGCCAGCACCTGTGGTCCCAGCTACTTGGGAGGCTGAGGCAGGAGACTCACTTGAGCCCAGGAGTTGGAGGTTGCTGTGAGCTGTGATGCCACAGCACTCTACCCAGGGGGACAGCTTGAGGCTCTGTCTCAAAAAAAAAAAAAAAAAAAGCCAAAACCAAAAAATGGCCGGGCGTTGTGGCCAGCACCTGTGGTCCCAGCTACTTGGGAGGCTGAGGCAGGAGACTCACTTGAGCCCAGGAGTTGGAGGTTGCTGTGAGCTGTGATGCCAAAGCACTCTAACCAGGGTGAAAGCTGGAGGCTGTCTCAAAAAAAAAAAAAAAATCTGAGAAGTGATGATCTATGTGTTGACAATTCCCCAATGTTCATCTCTAGTCCTGAGTCCCAGCCTCCATACCTAACTGCCATATACCCAGGAATTTCAAACTTAAATTTGCTCTAAACTGATATTCCTGCTTCAACTCATTCCCTCTATTGTAGCCAATGGCGCCATTGTTACTAGTAAAACCTAGAAGTAACTTCTGAGTGTACTGTATTTGTTGCTCTCTCACCCAATCCATCAACTAATCCTGGTGACTACTTCTAAAACTTGCCAAATTCACCCCTTTCTCTATGTCTGCAGGCCACCACCCCAGTCTACGACCTCTTTACTAGTGATCTACCCAGCCTCCCACTTCTGCCCTCACTGCTGCCTTCTATTAGTTTTTCTTGCCATGGCCAGAAGGAGCTTTTAAAGATGTAAATTGAAATCAGTGCTTTCTGCTTTTAATCGCTAATCACACTTTTAAAATCAGACAGAGCCTCTCTTTCTAAACTCAACTACCACTGGCTGCACAAGCGACACTGTCTCTCAAGCCAACAATTCCAGGGTCAGAGCCTTGGCACTTGCTTTTTTCCTCTGTCTTCCTCCAGATCTGCCCATGGTCATTCAAGTCTCTATTCAAATGAGAGGTCCCTTTCCCCGTATTTAAAAAGTCCTCGTCGGCTAGCCCCTCCTCCCCCCAAAGAATTCACTCTGAGCCCCAGCCACATCCACTGAGGGTGGCGGGTTCGAACCGGCCGCCCGGGGCCAGCTGAACGACAGTGACATCTACAGCAAAAAATGACCCGGCGTTGTGGGCATTGTGGCAGGCGCCTGTAGTCCCAGCTACTTGGGAGGCTGAGGCAGGGGAATCGCTTAAGCCTAGGAGTTGGAGGGCGACATAGTGAGACGCTGTCTCAAAAAATAAAAAGCCGTCGTCATTCACCTTAATGGATTTTTAGCAACTATCGACAGTTATCTGAAATCACCTCTTTCGTTCATTTCTGACTTGTTCAACGTCTGTTCCCCACTCCCATCCCGCGCCAGGAGACAGAGGATTTTGTCTATCTTTCTCATTGCTGTTATCTCCAGCATCCGGGACAATGCCTAGTATATAGTAGGTGCCAAACAAATATCTACTGAATGGGAATAAGCGCTAAGTTGCTACAAAATATCTATAAATCGGGCACCCGAGGTGGAGTGTACCTACGGGAGCGCCTGAGGCTGGCTCTGGGCCTTTTGGTGAAAACTGACAGACACGGGTTCCAATTCCCGCTTCGCTGCTAAATTATAGCTTGCGCTCTGGCGAGGGCCTTAACCTCTTAGTCATTTGTCTCATCTGCAAAACGCGAGATCAGGGCCGTGAGGCGGCGGGCACAAGGCGGGCTACCTTTATCCGCAGGCCCTCGTCTCTACCACAAAAGGTCATGGCGCCTTGGCCAGGACCTAGGTCCCTCTTGGGGTCGCCTTCCTAGGCCTCGGAACGGGACGCCCTGGAAAGCAGGAGTTCGCATTCCCCTTTCTACACACGACCTACCTGCTCACGCGGCCAGTCGCGGACTTAAGTCCGGCTCGGTCTTGCCGCTGGGCGCCGCCATGTTGCCCCACAGAGCGTCCGGGTCACGGCTGCCCGAGAGACAGCAAATCGCAAAAGCTGGTGTAAATATTTCCCGCCCATAAAAAGAATTACACCAATAGAAAAGCGGAATGACCTTGCTCCCACCTCATAAGGAGCAAGGCCCCGCCCTCAACGAGGCGGGCCTCATGCACTACCGGGGAACCGTCGGACCGGGAAGGAGGTGCTATGGCATTCGTAGGCTGTGAGGCTGGACCTAGGGATCTTGTATATCTAACCACGCCCCTGGTTATCCCACCTGAAATGCAGAGATGAATTATTAAAGGTCAATGAATGCATTTTATCGAACATTTACTGTGTGAAAGGCACAGTTCTAGTCTCTGAGGATAAGCCTCTGACATCAGTGAAGCAGACAGTGTCTGGTAACTCTGGGCTAGTGCTCACCAGTGAAGTGGACCATTATAATAACCTCATAGGATTTTTATTATTATTATTTCCCCCCCTGCCCAGTTTTTGGCCGGGGCTGGGTTTGAACCCACCACCTCCGGTATATGGGGCCTGTCGCTCCACTCTTTTGAGCCACTGGTACTGCCCACCTCATAGGATTTTTTAAACCTTTTTCTTTTTTTTACTGTTATTTGCATTTATTTATTTATTTTTGTTTTTTGCAGTTTTTTGGCCTGGGCTGGGTTTGAACCCACCTATGGGGCCGGCACCCTACTCCTTTGAGCCACACCACCGCCCTATTTGCATTTATTTTATGTTGCATCTATTCCTGTGCCGTCAGTTTTTGTTTCTTCAGTTTCTTCTGGGACGTCTTTTTCTTTTGTGCTACCTCCTCTGGTTTGGGAACAATTTGTTCCTTTTTAGTAAGGATCATCTTGATGTGGCAGGGAGAGAACATGTATGGGTTAATGCGACCATGGCCTCTATAAGTTCGGCGACCTTGGGCGCTTTGTTCACTTGGATATGCTCAATGACCAGAGAATCTATATCTAAACCCTTAAGTTCAGCATTACTCTCTGCATTTTTAAGCATATGCAACAAAAACTCAGCACTCTTTTTGGGCCACTGAACCTGTGTCCAGCCCCACTGTTTGGCCTGGGCATACCTACCAATGCCACCACTGTAACATTGGGATGGTACACATTGTTTCTTTAAGGGGACAGATACTTAGTGGCTTTTCGTATATGTATACCCTGGATGGTCTGGGCAGTTTCACATGTGTTCTTAAAAGTTAACACGAAGATTTGAGCCTCTTGACTTGCATGGCTTTGTGGGGTTTTCTGGGTCAAGTGAATAGAGAACCATTTTCAGAGATCACCTCAGGCCTCTTAGGGGAAGAGAAACCTTTTTTTTTTTTTTAAGATGGGGTCTTGCTGTGTTGCCCAGGCTGCCCTCAACCTCCTGGGGTCAAGCAGTCCTCCTGCCTCAACCTCCTGAATACCTGGGACTACAAGTACAAGCCACTTGGTTGGTTTCCATAAGAATTTTTTTTTCGGCTTGGCGCCTATAGCTCAACCGGCTAAGGCGCCAGCCACGTACACCTTTGGTGGTGGGTTCGAATCCCCAGCCCGGACCCGCCAAACAACAATGACAGCTGCAACCAAAAAATAGCCGGGCGTTGTGGCGGGCGCCTGTGGTCCCA